TATGATAGCTTGTTTGTGCATAACATTGGGACTTCTGAAAGATGTAACTGCTTCCATTAGAAATGGAGAGGGTGTGTATAGGTGTGTGGGTTGTGTGGTGTTTTTTGTTGAATGGCTCTATTCAGACTGAATCCTGGGCATAGCCCAGCCTCAGCCTGCAGAACCAGTTTCTATGTCCTACCAGCTTACTCACAAGAAAGGTGCTGTTGGGAGGAGTTGCAAAGGGTGGTTGTTTTTTGTTTTGTTTGTTTTTTGCTTCCTGAAAGCCTAGGTGGTGGCACTTAATGGATTCTACCAATCTCCTGTCTGATTTGAAGGGCTCAAAAATATCTCTTACATACATGGAGCTGTGTGTGTTTTCAACCCAGAATTCTGTGACTGCCCCCTATTTGCTTAGTCCACCCCCGAATTGAACCATGTCTCCTTTCACCCTCCATGCCTCATGGCTTAATAACAGTAGAATGAACCTGTTTTAAACCAGGCATATCCAGAGTCATGCCCTCACTAAATACACACTTGAGAGCCATGATGTACCCTACATACCCATTTAGGGTCATTTTACCATGACTTGTATGTAGGTAAGGGATTGGTTAGCCTGAGTAAGCAGAAGCCTTTCTCTGGGTTAGCACTGAAGCATCTGTGCCATAGGTCTCCCTATATAGTCACTTTGAGATTAAACAAATAGAGCAGCCCCATCTTTATCCATCTCAACATGCTCCTGTTGACTTTGTGAGTTGCCTCCTCAGTGTAGACTTGGAGATGGGAAGGGTGGCCCAGTGGTTAGGGCACTAGTCTAGGACCGGGACTAATTCCCTCTAATTCCCTCTTCTGCCACTAACTTCTTGTGTGACCTTAAGCAAGTTACTTAGTCTTGCTGTACCTCAGTTTACCATTGGTAAAATGGAGATAATAGCACTGCCCTGTCTCATAGGTATGTTGTGAGGAGAAGTGCATTAAAGATTTCAGGGCCCTCAGATACAAGGTTCCCATTACCACACTAAGTACCTTGGAGAGCTGGATAGAATTCTAGGGCTACTTGTTCTGTCTTGTATCTGTGATGGTGGTTTCCAAAGCCTGGTGCCCTACCTCTTTTGAAGTAGTGCTGGGAGAAACATGGCTCTCTGCTCAGATTTTGGAGTCCGTGGTAGACTAAACAATGTGAGGTAGGGAAGCCTGTGTAGCCAAAACAGCAGAAAAACAATACCCCCCAAGAAATTATTTACCCATAACTTAGAAATGATCAACAGAAGGTTATCTGCAGAACAACTAATTAGAGGCTTTCAGGCTCTGGGGTGGGTTAGTACTTTTTGTTGGTGCTGGCTGGAAATGAACTTTTATTTAAGCGTTTGGCCTTAAACCTGGGACAGACTGTTAACAGTGACATGTTTCAAGGTTATGTAGGACCCTCTCATTAGCATGCTTTTCTTGTACTGTACAAAACCTCAACAAAATCTTTAGCTGGTGGGATTAATCCTTTACCCACTCTTCCCTCCATCTGAAATCTTGGAGCCACTTTGTTGAAAAGGCTTCTTATGAGAGTAGGGGGTATGAGTCAGTGCTAGAACGATGGGATCTGCTCTCTTACAAGGGGAAATGTCAAACAAAAATTCCTCGTGTTAATGTTACTTCCCTCAACTCACTAAAATTGGAAACTGACCCCAGAGTGGTGTAAAACAGTCCTTTTTTTTTTTCTTCTTTTTTTCCCTATTAAAGGTAGAAGAACTATATGAAACTTACTGCATCCAGTGCAGGCTGCGAGATGGGGCCTCTAATATGAAACATGCCTTCTCCTTGACTCCCTCCACCAAAGCCTCCAGAGAGAGCCTGGTAGAACTTTATAAGAACCTCCAAGAATGCACAGAGGTAGGAGAACTCCTCAAGCATCTGACAAATAACTGACTCTTCTGTCTAAAGTCAAAGCAGTGGATACTGTACCAAAACATGTTGTTCTGAACTGTTGGCTCTCTGGTGGCCTGGGCTTAGAACATAACATGTAAAATTAGATGAAGATGCATAACAGCAGCTACAACTCACATCTTCCTCTATAAAAGTATTTTGCTGTCTAACTTTCCACCTTAATATGCAGTGAAATGCACAGGGTAATGAGGTTTGTTTGTTTGCTTGTAACCAAATGTGTTCATGAAGGGTGCATAGAAAGTCCCTTGAATTTGATCTGTAACATTAGGACTGAATCTAGCTTTCATAGGAAGTTATTTGGGGGGGGCGTGGTGTCATAGATTCATAGACTTTAAGGTTGGAAGGGACCATTATGATCGTCTAGTCCAACGTCCTGCACAGTGCAGGCCACAGAATCTCACCCAGTCACTCCTGTAACAAACCCCTATCCTATGTCTGAGCCATTGAAGTCCTCAGATCATGGCTTAAAGACTTCAAGGTGCAGAGAATCCTCCAGCAAGTGACCCATGCCCCATGCTACAGAGGAAGGCAAGAAAAACCCAGGGCTTCTGCCAATCTGCCCTGGAGGAAAATTCCTTCCCTACCCCAAATATGGCGATCAGCTAAACCCTTTCCATTGACTTCCAATGGAAGCCATAGTTAATAACTTACTGTGTGAGTAAGTCAGGGTAGGTCTACACTTCAAGCAGGAGGTGTAAATTTCAGCTTGAGGAGACGTACCCACATTAGCTCTGATGGCACCAGCCTGCTCAAAATAGCCCCTCCCACTGCTTGTGCTGTTACAGCTATGCTACCTGTCTAAGTATGTGCCTCGAGTCTTGGACAAGATTGTTGTTTGGCTGGTTAGCCCATCTTTCTATTTGTACTGCTGCTGTGGCTAGGGTCTATCTCTTTTTCAAGTGCACTAGCTCCATCAGAACTAGTGCTAATATGTCTCCTCAAGCTGGAATTTACACCTCCAGCTCAAAGTGTAGCTCTGCCCTAAATGGGGAAGACTGTGTGAAGCATATTACTTAAACAACCTTGCTCCTCTGCAGAGCTGGGATATAACATCCCATCCTGAAAGTAGCATTTAAAAAAAAAATCTGCCTCAGTATGCAGAAGTGTTAATGGTGTGTAAAATGTATGTTCTTTTGCTAACCGCTCTAACCTGGTCTGTGATGTGTTTGTCTTCAAGAATGGAGACAAAATGGCTGCCACTTTCTCATAGTACCATTTACTCCACTCTTCGGTCAATGTAATTGCTCTGTCTTTCTCTTCCAGGATATGTGTCTGATTGAAGGGGCACTGGAGGTGCACTTGGGAGAATTTCACTTGAAAATGAAAGGTAACCCTTGTACTATTGTACAGCGTTCATCACTTGAGCCAGAAGCTCTTCAGCTTGGCTGTATAAAGGACTGATCCAAAGCTCATTGAAGTCTGGGAGCTGGGCTTTGGATTGGGACCTAAACTGACTCTTAATGAACCTCATTTCCCCCCCCCCACATTCATGTGAAACAAATTTGTCCCTGCTCTGCAGCATTCTTTTATATGTGACTGTTGAAGCAGGACTTTCCTCTTCCCCACCCCTATGCAAAGTTTGCAATATTAAATAAGACAAATGCTAACAACTCCTCCACATGAATTTTGCTGTATGGGGACATTAATCAGAGTGTCACCTGGGTATTTAATGCAAGTTGAGATTTGTTAATAGATATTTTGAAACTCTCTCAAACTACAAACATTAGAAGGGGTTTTCCTTCTCTTTTCAGGGTTGGTGGGCTACGCACGTCTCTGCCCAGGGGACCAGTATGAGGTGCAGTACACAGCAATCCATTTTCTCTTACAACTTTCAATTATGGGCTTGCACCTGTAACGTGCAGGTGGGGAGTGTGGGGATGTGTAGGCTGAGCAGGAGAGAGAATGCAGGGAAACCAGAAGCTATATGGGTGTTGCATAGCTACCAAGTTATTCCTGCCTCAGTGTGAAGCTGAAGGACTTGGCTAAGTGCCTTGATAGAGAGCAGTGTCCAGGTACCTGGGAGACCTAAGTCTTCCAGAAGAGCTCCTTTGGGGACCTGGCTGGAGTCTAAAACCACCCTGAAAGAGGGTAGTAGCAATACTGCTGCCTATCCATAGGGTAGATCCCAATTGGAACAACTGCCCTGAAGGGCACAGGACTGCATAACTGTGTGTACAAAGCCTATGGCTTTCATCCCAGTAGTTTCAATTCTAACCCACTTTTTTCTTCCTGCCACTAACAAAACTCCAAATCACTTTAAAATCTGTCCTGCTCTGATGCCGGACATTACACGACAGTAACTCACTCTCTGCATTACAACAACACGTACGCTTTGGTATCTGACTCCACCCAAGTTCTTCCCGGACAGGTGGGGTACAGAACTACTTGGCAACTCCACCCCTGCTTCTTAAAAAAGCATAGCAATCAAAGGAACAAGCCCAAGCTCTGCAGTATGGGGAGGGAGGGATGGTGCTATCTTGGGATTTGCTGATTCTAGCCGCCTCTTCCCTATGTGGCTTCTAGGTGTTTGTGCGACTGGGACGCCAGAAGTGGAAGCTGAAGGGCAAGATTGAGACGGATGACAGCCAAACATGGGATGAGGAAGAGAAGGTTTTTATACCCAACCTCCATGAAAAGTTTGAAATAAAGGTAGCTGTCTGCAGTGGCTGGATTGGAGCCATTGGTTAGCAAGTAGCTTGCCTTCCCACCCGGCTCTCTGCCTAGCACGCTTTTAAAAAACAACATGAATTTTCACAGCTCCATAGAAACAGCAATTAATCAATGTTCTGCTTGCTGAGCTGGCCTCTGATCTCTGCTTCTGCTTTCTTTCCCAGGACTCTTGTAATGGCAACTGGGTTAATGCTTCTGCTTTTCCATATATTAGAATGACCCCTTTTTAAGATCTGCATCCAAGGTTTGGTGGTCGTTAGGGGTCCACGGCTTGGATGGAGTAATTATATTGCATGCAAGATTTGGGGGATTTTCTTACACACTTTTTAGAGCAGGGTAACTCTATGTATGTATACTTTGGGTGTATATATAAGCCAAACTTTCCCCTTCCTGGGGTTTCCCTGCATGACCTCTTCTGTCTCAGGCCCTAATTTCCTCTGCCCCAGAAGTACTCTAAAGCCATGTATATCCTATTGGAGCTAATGAGATCCACCTGCCAGTGTGAGTCAGGCATAATTATTCAGTATCTTTGGACAGGATTCTGCCACTTGGCATTAGAGTGGCTCATTGGAGGACTCCCTGCTATACCATACAGATGCATGGTAGGCACTTTATTCTTTCACTTAGGTAAAAGTTGGATCCTCCTGTTACTGTTACTATTACTATTACTACTGCCGCTTCCACCTGTTTTACATTACATCCTGACCTGGCAGCTGCTGGTTAGGAGCAAACGCCTGTTGTGATCTGGACTCCTCTGAAGGCCAGATCCTGCAGTCATGACTCCCATCAACTTAGATGGGAGCGGAGACTAAAATAGACTGCAGGGTTGGGCTGGACCTTCACTACACGAGTGAAACACATTGTTTTGTAGTGCCAACATAGGGCTTTCAATGCCTGGAAACCATACAAAATAGCTATTGCAACACCCCATCCCTTCTGGCAGCATGTGAGTTACATAGGAAAGAATTCCTGACTTCTAGCCAGTAGAGCTTTTAGAAATGTTCTTAAAATGTTTTTTCCCCGCTGCACAATAAGAATCTGGAGAGAAGCTAATTCAGATGCATGTTTTCTCATAATATTTGCAAAAACATGAATGGCTCTGTATGCCAGTGAAAATGACTCACCTCAAAGTTCAAGAGAGAGGTTATATGACATGGGTTTCATGCCAGTTTATTAAACCTGACTGACTCTAGTTTCTTTGCTTTCCCTCTCCACACAAGTGTGAATTGGGTGAAATTTTCAAGTGCCAGATTCCCACCTCCAAAAGTGACTTAGGCTTCTAATTACCATTAACTCTCAAATGAGATGTATGTGCTTCTGAAAACTTTACCTGCTAAATCTGTCCCTGATCCTAAATATGACAGACCCCTGGATGTACAAAAGTAGTAATATGCCTTTGTCCTGCTGCATCTTGGTTGTGGGTTTTCCAGCCCCACTTCCCAGGACTGCAGACAGACTTGAGAACTGGGAAGCTGTTTCTCTGCCATTGCTGGACTCAGCTGTGCCTGAAGAAGCTGTGGGACAGACTGCAAAGCGTGTGTAATGGGCTACAACTGGGATGAGCTACTGACCAATGAAGGGTGTGCTGCTTGTAAACCATGAGAGGAGGGATGCTGAAGACCTGTCGGCTTTGATTCTGAGTGGCAGCTGAGCTCAGCTTGGCCAAGAGGGAGTGGTAGACCAGGGCTGTGTCCACATTCTGGAGGTTGTTGGGGACTGGAACAGCCTTACATGGGTAGGGAGCTGGACTAGAATATCAGCGGTGGCCAACCTGAGCCTGAGAAGGAGCCAGAATTTACCAATGTACACTGCCAAAGAGCCACAGTAATATGTCAGCAGCCCCCTATCAGCTTCCCCGCTCCCAGTGCCTCCCACCCACTGGCAGTCCTGCCGATCAGCACCTCCCCTTCCCTTCCCTCCCCACACCTCCCGATCAGGGTCTGGGGGGAAGGTGGGAGGACTCAGGGCACGGCAGGCTGAGGGGCGGGGGCAGGAAGGGGTGGAGTGGGGGATAGGGCGTGTGGCAGAGCCAGGGGTTGAGCAGTGGGCACCCCCTGGCACATTGGAAAGTTGGCGCCTTTAGCTCCAGCCCCGGAGTCGGTGCCTATACAAGGAGCCTCGTATTAACTTCTGAAGAGCCGCATGTGGCTCTGGGGCCACAGGTTAGCCACCCCTGGATTAGATAATCTCTAGGGTCTCTACCCTAGATGATTTTTGGGTCAAATCCAGGGATGGGTGAGGCTTGCTGTAAAATATATATCTTGCAGCAAAATGGGCTCCAGGGTTCCAGGTTGTTTGTCTGATAGTTACTTGAATATACACTAAAACTAGAATTTGCAGGGTGCCTAAGTTTAGGCTCCTAAATATGTGGGATGACTTTCACTCTCAGAAGTGCTAAACACTCCTAGCCCCCATTGGTGTGAAGGGAGCAGCGTATGGCTCAGCCTCTATGGAAAATTAGCCCGTTACTATTTAGGGACCTAAACGTAAGCACCCAGGCTTGAAAAACTTGGCCAATGGCCTCAGAGCTGATCCTAGGCTGCCATGTTCATTGTGTACACAAACTGGCCAGTTCCTCAATATGGGTGGTAGAGAATCTGTGTCTCATGGGCATGATGAACTGGACTCAGCCATATCCCGTGAGTCCAGCCTCTCTAAACTCCTCAGCTATCCTTCATGTGTGTCCAGTATCTGGCAAAATGAAAATGGGTTTGTGCCTCTGTAGGTCACAGAGCTGCGGGGACTGACCACGATTCTAGTTGGTATGGTAACGTGTGACAGCATCGACTTCTTTACAACCAGGCCTCAGGCGATCATTGTGGATATAACTGAGCTAGGCACCATCAAGCTACAGCTGGAGGTCGTCTGGAAGTGAGTACAACTCCAAATGCTGAACATGGGAGTGGGGGGAGAGGACTGTTAACAGGGCCTTAGTGCTTGTGATGGGTGCCACTTTAACAGCACTCAACACTACAGTCCTCTTTCTGTTCACACCACAGGTGCAGCCTAGGTAGCAGCAGCGCAAGCCTTCCCACAGCACCCCCCGCCAATGTGCCTGAACCCTGATCTGGAGGGACCAATCCCAGGGAGGAGAGGATAGCCCCTCTCTCCATGGCCCTTCAGTTCTTTGCTCTGTGTTGAGGCTGCCAACAATGGAGCCAGCTGTGTCTGGCTTTTATTTAGGTTTCTGCTTTGTCCAGAATCAGTGTTCAGTTTGTGGTGTAGGCACATCTCTGAAATGCAAAGAATGGACTTAAAGAAGATGAAATGAAGCTGAAAACAGCAGCTCTTAGACACCACCATACGAATATGGTTGAGGTTTAGAGAAATCACTACAGTTACAGGGGCCAAGCCCTCCTTTAAAAATGAGGTTTCCTCAAAGGTTTGGCTGCTGTCACACTTGACTTTTTGACATGGTGATCACAGTTGCTTGTGCACAGTTATGAAACATTATTATGATCCCAGTGCGATTGCTTCTATGGTGCATCGTACACACCCAGCCCCCGAAGAGTTAGGTGCTACCTGTGATTTGATGCATTGTTTTACATTTTTAGATTTGTAAAGTTTTCTAGTAAATTACCACTACTATTAAAGGAAAAATTTCATTTTATGGGTGCTGCATTGAGAGATTTCCTGAATCTTTTCTGCCAGGTACACCTCAAAATCCTCACTCCAGAAATCTTAATTTGCATCTTGAGCCCCTCCATAATTTACCATCCATGTGAAGGCTTTATCCTGGGCTCTCTAATGCAGGTGTAGATGCCCGGAAGACAGCTGCTGCGTTGGTATTCTCCTATGTGGTTGAGGCAGGTCTATATAAGATGTGGCCACATGCTGGTCCTGCCTCTCTGACTGTAGGATGGCTCTTTAACAGCCGTTCTCTCCTGATGTCAATTGCTGGCATATTTCAGTTGTTGTAGCCCTTCTGCTGAAGAGAGGGCACAGACTGTTTTTGTGGCCATGGTCAGAATTAAATGATTACTCCCTTTTTAAATAGCTGTGAGCTGCCCTCCTGATAGGGCTGAGGGTTTTGGAAAAAGACTTTGTCACTAATCTGCTATGGATTTTTCACTAGTGCAGGTGCACACCGTAACTCATCTAAACTTGAAATGGAAAACCATCTAAAACTGGCGCCCCCTGCCAGTATGAGAAGAAATGGCTTGCAAAGCAAGCTAAGAAACAGACCGAGTCAGCATTTAACAGAATGTGGCAGAGCTTCAATTTTCTTGAGAAGCAGAGGCAACCACTGTCCTCCTGTGGATCGACAGTTTGGTGTCTGTAATGAATCCAAACTACTCATTCGGGAAGGCAGCTGTGTGTGTGAGAGAGTCAGTGTCATAATGCATTTCATATTTCCAGGGTTGCAGTATATTGCAAACTCTCTTATTTTATACTTGCAAAGTGCTGGGTGCCCCTCTGGTACAGCAGAATGCTAACTTACTCTCCACTACCTCAAACCCAGCTATGTTTGTGAAGTACCCAGCCAATCAATGAGAGCAGCACCTTTACTGCTGGCTGTTTTCAGCTCCATCATCCGGGCTGGAAAAGGGTCTTGGAATATATTTGGTAACAACTAGAACTAACATGCAAAGTTCAGATCTGAAGGACTTGGGGATTTAGGCCCCTCTTCAGGAATGGGGAACAACCTGACTAATCCTCTATTTCTAAGAGTATTTGGAAAACTAGCTTGGCTTCTGCTTTGGTGCTGTCTTTGGCTATCAACAGGTGAAATACTGTAAAGAGCCTTCCCATGAGTCTTCCAACCCCAATGTAGCTAAGTAGCTGAACTTTCAGGTTGCTGTCTGGAACATATGACATTCATGGAGTATCCTACACTGTTTTCCAATGCCTTTTTGTGAGTAAATGGTTTC